GCTCCACGATGGCGTCGCCGATGCATCACCGATGTCGCCGATGCATCGCCGATGCGTCGGCGATTTATCGCCGATGTATCGGCGAAGCGGCGCGATCCTCCGACCCCATCCACTCCGACCCCATCTAGGAGGCCTCTATAAGAAGGCCTCACATAAGGCCGGAGCTATTCGAAGAGGCGGGGTGCCTTCATAAGATTCCCCCCCTCGCCCCGCCCCTCTCTTGCGCGCGCCGCCGAGGTCTCTTCCGCCCGCACGCCTCCGCCTTGCCTCGGAGAAGATCGGCGAGTGGCTCCTCCTCTATGGTGGGCGCAGCTCTGGGGATGCGATCAGAGAGCGCGCTCGCCTCTTCAAGCTGAACTTGAGGACACCGACGCGGGATGTCCAGGAGGAGGAAGGAGGAGGAGGAGGTGCAGGAGGAGGATGAGGAGGAGGAGAGGAGGGAGGTCGTCGTCGTCGAGCGTCGGAATTGGCGGTGCACCGTTCCCGTGTTCAAATAATGTCGACGAGTGCCCCTGACCCAGGCAAGAGAAACAGAACCGCAGTGCGATGTCGCACAACGGACTCATAAAAGCTTGAGGGCAAGCGCCACCGATGCAGGCGCATGAAGGCAGAGAAGCATGCACAGAGCTGGACTGAAGCGATATTCTCAGGAAATAGACCTGCGAAGCAACCGCCCCAGATGGGGCAAGGGAGACTCAAAGGCATAGATGGGCGTGCGTCAACCCAAGCCGCGGGGAGAAGAATGGGGAAGGGGGGGAGCGGGAAAGGGACGAAGGCGGGGCAGAGAGGAGATATGCCCAGCCACGCACGCCAGAGAGGCCACAAGGAATGCAGAATCCGTGATCAGTGCAACAAATTGTAATCCCGGGGCAAGCGTTGCGATAGCAGTTTTGATGCCATTGCCTGTAACCGGCAATGCGGAAACAGGCTCGAAAGCACGAACACAGCAATGACAAAAGATGCGACGCGGACGCAGCAAATCATACAGCAATGTTACGGATGAACAGACAACGCAAGGCCATTACGGCCTAAAGGGGATGCGACAAATAAGCAGCAACTGCAGTTCCGAAGGGCTTGAGTAGCCAACCACCGCTGGAGTGGCGAAAGGTGTCGCCCACGACAAGGAGGCGGGGAGAGAAACAAAGAGCAAGTCGGACCAGACCTACGGCAAAGACACCGAGCACGCAAGCATTGAGCGTTAGGAATTGGGAAGAGTTGCGACATAATCGGCAGCGAGCGTGGCAAGTGACGCCCACCAAAAGAAAAGCGAATAGGGGCGACTCACGACGAGAGGGCAGGGAGAGGCCAGACAAGGCAGACACTTGGACAGGCCTACTCAACGAGCAAGGGCCTAAGCTACTTTGATGTGGGACATCCTCGAAGCTCTCTGAGTGCCACTCGCATCTCTCCTGCTTCTCCTCCTCCTCCTCCTGCTTCTCCTCCTCCTCCTCCTCCTCCTCCTCCTCCTCCTCCTCCTCCTCCTCCTCCCCCCCGTCTCTCGGTTTAAACGCAGTTCGCCCCCCGCGACTCTGGATGCACGTCTGGGTAGGCTTGGGAACGGCGAGCGAGCCACTCAGTCCAAAGAGCCTGCTCGTGAGGCAACACATACTGGATCCAGCATGCCCTGCACATCTGATGCCTCTGCCCTGCGTGCAGAGACGGCCCCCGCGCCTGCGATCGTCGTGAGTAGTGTGACCGCAGTAGGCGCAAGCACGGGGCGAGATAGACATGCACACCGAACAGTGAACGCCACCACTGCTGGTGCGCATCACTGGCCAGACTTGTCCTTGACAGGTGCGGCGGTACGGCGTGGAGGCGGGCGGACACAAGAAAGTTCGGCCTGAACAGCTTGGGCCTGTGCCCTCCTTGCATAGACGGTCCCCGCGCCAACGATCGTCATGAGTAACCGCTTGCCGCGGATAAGAAAGGTGACCCACCCAGGTCACCCCCTCTATTTGAGTGGGGTGCATGTGGGCTTACAAGAGGCGCGGGGAGCGAACTTTGGGCGAACTTTGTAATCACCCCCAAAAATCGCATCGTCGCTCTGATTTTCATACCATGCATAGCACCGCGGGCACCCTTGGCACTAATTCCGTGACGAATTGTCGAGCTCGCGACCAGCAGTGTTTCGAGGATGTCTCAAGCAAAACGCTTGGTTGTGTTACACACAATGTCGCGAACGTGTTGGTGGTGCGAGGGTGCGTTTCAAGCGAAACGTTCAATGCGTCTAGCTTCCCTTCCCCTCCTTCCGCCCCCGTGCCGTTTGCGAGGTACTCCGCCCTCCCCTCCTTCCTCCTTCCACGCCCCAGTTGAATGTTCTTATCGCCGTCATTGTTGACCACCCCCAAAGAACAACCACAAGCCTTATTCCTACACGACGAGCAGAAAACAGCCAAGAATAGCATTACACATCGAATGAGATAGGTCCGACTCTTTGATTCTCTTGAAATCGTTTTCTCTTCCTCTCTCTCTCCTCGTCGTCCTCGCCCCCTCCTTCTTGTCCTCGTCCTACTCCTTGTCCTGCGTGTCTATCCTTTTTCGGTTCCTTCTGCTGCTATTCCTCCTGCTCGTCTCTTTCTTCTCGTGTTCTTCCTTCTCCTCCCCTTCCTGCCGCTGCTCCCCAGCTGCACTTATGTATCTCCGTCGTTTTAAGTCACAGCCAAAAAGTAACCATGAGTACCCCTATACGACGAGTGGAAGACCACCACGGACCTGATCGGTCTGAAACTTCGATGTTTATGGACATCCTTATCCTCCCCCTTCCCCCTCCTCCTCCTCCTCGTGCTCTCATCGTCCTCTTCCTCGTCTTATGCAATCCTCAGATTCCTGATCTTCTCGTTATTCTCCGTCTTCTGACCTCATTCTCCTCTCCTTCCTCTCTCCGCACGCCGGACCGATGCGCCATGGAACCATAGTATGTCACTGGTTTCGTACTCGTCCCATACCTCTAGGCAGGCCCCCCAAGAGTAGCCAGCGCATCGCTCTACCATAGTATGTCACTGGTTTCGTACTCGTCCCATACCTCTAGGCAGGCCCCCCCCCAAGAGTAGCCAGCGCATCGCTCTACCATAGTATGCCTCAGGATTCGTGCTCACCCAACTCCTTCAAGCACGCTGCAATGGAAGGATTCACCAGATCAGCTTGGAGGTCATCCAAGACCCATCCAGACATCCCAACATCGATAATTCCGGGAATATGCATCATCCTCCCAGGACCCCGAACTTGATTTTCCCAAGGGTGCGATTCTAATTGGTATAGGGTTAGTGTGAACGCAGTAGGCGCAAGCAGGGGGCGAGATAGGCATGCACACCGAGCAGTGAAAGCCACTAGTGCTGGTGCGCATCACTGGCCAAACTTGTTTTTGACAGGTACGGTATGGAGGCGGGCGGGCGGACACAAACAAGGTCGTCTTGGCAAGCCTGGGCCTTCTTTCTGAAGATGCTGATAACGTTCAACAGGACGCAAACTCGAGCGGGTGGGCAATGGAGAAGGGAGGAGAGAGGCGGTTGAGATGGAGGTTGAGGTGGAGATGGAGGAGGGAGGAGAAGGATGATGGTGACGATGATGATGATGATGATGATGATGATGATGATGCTGATGATGATGATGATGATGATGATGCTGATGACAATGACGATGATGATGCTGATAATGATGATGATGAGGAGGAGGAGGAGGAGTTTGATGATGATAATGGTGATGATGATGAGGAGGAGGTGGAGGAGGAGGAGGAGAACGAGTGTTTGGGAGGTGGGGGGTGAGGAAGAAGAGGAGGAGGGGAGGAGGAGGAGGAGGAGGTGGAGGAGGAGGAGGTGGAGGAGGAGGAGGAGGAGGAAGAGGAAGGGGAGCAAAAGGAGTAGGAGGAGCAGCAGAAGGAGAAGGAAGAGGAGGTGGAGGAGGAGGAGGAGGAGGAGCTGGAGGAGGAGAAGGAGCAGAATGAAGAGGAGGAGGAGGAGGAGGAGGAGGAGGAGGAGGAGGGGGACGGTGAGGACGCTCGCGTGGGACGCCCTGGAGGTGCGTGGTCGGGAAGGCAGCCATCCAGCCGCCCCTGCCGCCACGATGAGCGCCGGGCTTGTCATCTGGGGAACAGGAGAGGGTATTCCCCCCCTCCCCGCACCGCATGGGCTCATTTCGACTCTGCCGACTCGATTCGATTTGGTTTCGATTGATTCCGATTTGATTCGATTTCTGATGCCGATTTGACTGAGGCATCATTCGTCTGCCGACTTCCGCCGATTCGACTTCTCTCGACTCGGCTGTCGATTTCCGCCGATCCGATCCATTTCGATCGCCGACCCCTCCCCCATGCCCCACCCATGGGGAGAACGTGTCACGCCGCCGCTTCTGGCGCACCGCGCCTCGGCGCGAAACTTCATCTACTTCCTGGCCCCCCAGCTTCAACGTCCCGAGCTGTTCCGAACCCCCCGCCCCGCAGAACGGAGCGGAACGCTATCCACTTGCAAAGCATCGCGTGTCGCCGGGGCCGCCGCCGCGACACGCTAAGCACGAGTTCCCGACCGTACCTTCCTGAGGTCACAGTGGTCCCAAGAGGCCTCCGGTTGCGGGAGCCAGAGAAACCGCCATGAGCGTTCAAGAGTTTGTATCGTTGGGCCTCCCTTCTCCTGTCCTTTTCTTCCTCTTCTCCTCCCCCCTCTCATCGAGCCCCCTACTTCCCCGGGAGGCCCATCGCTTCCCATTGCGCTGATGTGTTATCTACCCGACGGCGGGAGTCATGACGGACGAAATGGGCAGCTGGTTACATTGGAGGAGGAGGAGAAGGGGGCAGAGGAGCAGGCGGAAGAGGAGGATGACAAAGGAGGAGGACGAGGAGGAACAGCAGCAGTAGGAGCGGAAGCCGGAGGAGTAGCAGGAGCAGCATGAGCAGGGGATGGCGGGGGAGGGGAAAGGAGTGGGGTGGCAACGACGAGGAGGAACTCGGATCCAGACGTGTGGTCCGCGCTGTGGCAGGAGCGCAAGTCTGAGCTACGGGAGCAAGGCGCCGATCCTAAGATGACTTCCACGCTGCAGCGGGAGCACACTGTTGAAACACCGAGACTGCTCCAGTTGCCACAGAAACATCGAAAGCACTACACAGTGACATCCGGTGTGCGAACCATCAGCCCAGGGAGAGGGCGGGACACTTCCGGGACATTGTCGGGGGAGAGAGGATCTGGAGAGAAGCATCAGATTGGGCGAGGGACTGGGGGGGGGGGAGGAGGGCAGTTGGGCTTGCGCTCCAGGTGTGGCGCCTCGCCGCTTTCTCAAGAAAAGGGGCAGTCGGAGGAGAGGGAGGGGGCACGGGAAGCGGGAGGCCCCCCCGCCTCGCCTGCCAGTGGGGTGGGGCAGATGTGCCGTGTGCCCTCTCCTGTTCCCCTTTGTCGGCGGGGTGCAGTTCACCGCATTCGGCATCCGGACGGTGCCAGGGTCGTGTGTATGTATATATATATATATATATATATATATATATACGTATACATATAGAATTCCTTATGATTTCTCTCTCGTCCTCGGCGCCGTGGTCGTCCTAGGCCTCATGGCTCCTCATCATCCTGCACCTGCTCTTTTTCTCCCTCCTGCTCCTCACCCGACTCATCCTGCTCCTGCTCCCCCTGATCAGCCTCCTGGTGTTGATGCTCGTGACTCCTCTCCGAGACCCCTCCTTTTGCCCTCCTCCCGCTCGTTCCGACTGCTGCTCATCCTGCTCCTGCTTCTCCCCCTCCTCGACGGTGCCGAAGTTGGATGTCTTGACCCTGTGGAGCCCAGACGGAGAGTCCGGGGCAGACGACGGACAAGAAGAGGAGCCAGAGAGCGAGGAAGAGGACGACAGCCCTCGCGATGCAGTGTCCGTTCTAGTCAGGGACTCGCAGGGCAACGCGCGCCGTATGGTGCTCTCCAGAACGATGCTCCAGCTCTTGCTGGCTCGACAGGCTCGTGGTGGCCAGCCTGGTCAGAGCGACGACGAGGATTGACTCGGAGGAGGGGAGGGCGCGTAATATTGACAATGAATGAGTGGTTCACGCTATTCTCCTAGTGCGGGTGGGCTGGCCTGCCAGGTCCCAGCATATGTTTCCGGCATCGGATTTCGGCTGCAGATTCTTGGTGACGTTCGCAAGTCTCCGAGATTATGGTCGACATGTACACAACCATGTAGTTTTACAAAGATGCGAGGACTGATGCACTTCCGCTGTGCTGGCATTGGATGCACCTCGCGGTTTCAGTTTAAACGCCTTTGGGCGTCTGACTGCGTCGGCATCCCTCGGACACCTGAGCAGCCCGCTTAGGTCCTCAATTTTCGTTTCGCTTTCTGAGCGTATCCCTTAGTTTCAGCGCTCTCTTCTCGTTGAAGCAAGCCAGTTAGGTGTTCCTGGATCGCAGCGCGGGAACAAAAGCGTCACTGAGTCACCTAGAGTCGTTCACCATGGTTTTGTCATGCCGTCATGGCCACAGATTGTGGAAGAAGGGCAGTTGGAAAGTTGGAAGAGAAGCATGCGACATGAGTGGACGTTGATAGTTGATATGGTTGTGGCTGCAGATTGAAGGACACGGACCGGACCGCCTAAGCATCGGGAGATAGTGGGCGGGGAGAGTTAGCAACATTCTGCAAGCGGAAAAGCAGGTGTGCGATTACCGTGAGTGTGAAGAGCGGTTCAGGACGTATATCATCGAGGAAGCGCCTTCGGGAAAACAAGAAACATTCCGTCAGATTGAGTGTCTCATCCTCCTTTTTCTCCTCGTCATCCCTCTCCTCGCTCTTCCTCCTTCTTCTCCTCTTTGTCCTGTCTCTTCCTCCTAGACGGCCCCGTCTTCCTCCTCCTCCTCTTTCCCCTCCTTGGCGACCCATCGTACTCCAGGCCTCTCGGGCTGCGGCGGCCTTGTTGAGGTCCCTGGACCTCCCAGGGCCATCGTGCAGCTTGTATGACAGTACGCTTGGCACTTTTGGACCATCCCGAGATATACTCGAAACGTCGGAGTGAGGACCGCTTTGGTTCTGGCATCACGAAAGATCGATGCTGCCAGCTGTCCGAAGTGTTTGATGTTTGGAGGCCCGTTTCGGGCCCGTGGCCATCAAAAAGCGACCTTGGATGGACCAACAATTACGGACCAGGATAGGGACGAGAGGTCCAGGGGTCCACGTCACAAACAAATCGCGATATCAGAGATCTGGGGGAAGGGGTCCCGGGGTTCCTTTTGTATTTCCATTGGCTTCTTCCTGGAATATCTTCGGACATATGGGCACACTTGGGGCCAGAAAGTGGTTTCGTTAACCGCTAAAGCATTCCGCCTCCTTCCCTGGAGGCCTCAAGTATGCTCAAGTGTTTGCGGCTGATGTGTAGGCAATGGCGAGGAACCCAGGAACATTTTTGTTGTCCTTGCTGCCCCTCATCGACCTCCTCCCGACCTCATCCTCATCCTGATCATCTGGGCATTCTCATCACGGAGCAGTGGCCGTTCTCACCTCAGGCATTTGCTAACCCAAAGGACAGAGGAGACGGAGGAGGATAAAGAGGAGGATAAGGAGAAGTGGAGGGGCGGGAAAAGATGAGTGGGAGGAGGAATTGGAGGAAGTTGAGTGTGGACGAGGAGGAGGGAAAGTGAGAAATGGATGGGGAAAGGACGGAAAAGGGAGGCAGGGAGGGGCAAGGATCTGTTTCCACAACCCTCCTGTTTTAGGCCATTCGCTCGAACAAAGCGCTGCTGCTCCCGTCCTCCTTCCCCCCCCCTGCCTCCTACATCACACCTGCCTCCAACTTCGCCCTTTTCTGCATATTACCTTCCTTCCTCCTACCTCGTGTCTCTGTGTGGTGCCCACCTCGCCATTTGTCTGCGCTTTGGGAGGACCAGCGGAGTGACGTCCTACGGGGCCCAAGCGAGACATCGCCCTCTCAGGGCGCTGCCAAATGCGCAACGCCACTTTTGTTGGCGTGTGGGAGGTCCAGCTGAGAAACGACATGCGGGAACGCAGTCGACATGTCGCCCTGTCTGGTTGTTGCAACTGTCGCCGCTTTCGTGATTGTCTGGGAGGTCCAGTGAAATGACGTTTTACCTCAGAACTGCCACCACTTCCGTGAAAAAACAGTCACCACTTCCGCGAAGACCACCAGAGTGGTCTGGGATGCAGAACTGTCACCACTTCCGTGAACTCCTGGGACATCCAGAGCGACGTTCGCTCTTACAGGGCACCCGAACGAGATCTCGCCCTCCCTGGATGCTGTCAACTGCGCACATCTCGCCACCTTCGTGAGCTTCTGGGGGGCACAGCAGAATGACGCTCGCTCTTACAAGGCACGCGACCGAGACCTTCCCCTTTGGGGGGGGGCTGCCACTTGCGCAGTTGTCGCCACTTTCGGGGGCTCCTGGGGGGTCAAGCGAAGCGACGTACACTGGAATCCAGTCAAGAATTCGACCTTCCTGACCTCTTCCACTTTAGTGAGATCTTGGGATGTCCAGCGGGGTGGCATCATGCGCGGCCCCGGACGAGATCTCTCTTGCAGGGGCTGCCAATTGGTGGGCTGGCGGCCGTCAGGCCAAACCGTGTCCGTCAGGGCGAGACCGTGCCCGAGAGGATCATCGTCGACCCGTGCTACAAGGATGCCGGCGATATTGGCAACCTCGGGCTGTATTGTATTCGCACGTCACATTGTCAAAAGCCACGGCCTCGGAGAAGCTGCTCGTGATCCGCAGCCTGGGCTTAGGCGTTCTCGCCTGAGGGCCGCTGGTGGCATCAGCATCACTTTACGAATCTGTAACGCCCGCGCGCAATCAGCGCAGGGAAGATGCTCAGGAATTGGTCGGTGGCCTCGGCATGGGGGCGGTCCCCCAGGATGGGGATGTCCGAACGTGTGCCGTCATCATGGTATCCCCGACCTTTTCCTACTCAAGTCGTCCTATGCATCCCCCGCGCCCTCAATTTCTTACTCGCCAGTATTATGTATCCAGCTGCCTCTGGCAAGTCTCGCCACCGCGCTAGTCCGACATTCCGGGTGGACGCTGCTCGATGGGGGGCGGGCGGCCGTCACGCGCGACACGTTGTGTTTCCGGGTTTTGGGGTCCGCGGTGATGATGACGACGATTATGAATGATGCTGATGATGGCGATGACGATGATTAGGATGATGAGAAGGAGGACGGAAATGATTCACACAAGCAGGAGGAGGAGAAAGAGGAGGAGGAGGAGGAAACGGAGGAAACGGAGGAGGAATAATAGGCCGTCTGTCACACGTGGCATAATCCGCCTTCATTCGTTGAGGAAATATTGTGAGTCACGTTTCGGCACTACTGCGGTTGTTTCTGCCTTCTGCGTGGCAGTGCCGGGGGCCACCTCACCCGAGGCCGTCGGGGATGTTCGGGGACCTTTTTGTGCCGTTGTGGGGCCCTCTTGGCCGTAGGGCGCTTGCCCGATGGGCGTCATGGCGCCGCAATGTGCAGACGCAGGGGCCTCTGAGGCCGTCTTGGGTCCCACGGGAGGCTATCTTCGGCCGTCCAGGAGCCGTCTTGGATGCCTTTTGGGCCCTCGTGCGGCTCTCTGAGGCCATAGCTTGAGGGCCCCAGGAAGGTCCCCGGATCCATCAGCGTCCGGGGCGCCCTCGCGCCACCGAAGATGCCCCCAAAACGTCCCAAAACGCGCGCGGTGGGCCCCCTGAGGCCTCCGAGGGCCCCCGCCCGAGGGCCTCAACATTCCGATGGGGAAACGTATATGTGCATCATAGTGATTGTTTTGGTTGTGAACAGCGTCTCAGACGGTCCAAGACGAGCCCCTGAGGCTTCACTACTGCTTCCGAGGTCCCAAACACTGCCTAAGAGGGCCCCAAGACGGCCCAATGGGAAACCAAGAAGTCCAACAGGGTGCCACGACGGGGTGTCGGGCCACTATCTTGAGGGGCGCGTCTCCCAACATGCCCCAACCACCTTCCGGGTAGCCCCCAGGACGTTTCCAAAAAGGCCCCCGAAGGCTCCCGAGAGACCCCGAAAACGCGCCCCAAATGCCTGAAGAGAATCCGAGAGGTCCCGAGAGGCCCCTAAATGCTTCCAGGAGGCCTCCCAATAGGGCCCCCCACAAACGGATGATCGTTTCGTGTCGACATTTTGCCCGGCGTCCCCATAGAGGCGTCCAGAGGCTCCCAATTCAGGATCCAATTCCAGGTGTCGAGGGACCCCCCGCGAGGCCCCGAGAAGCACGCAAGACGCTCCGACCTCGCGACCTTGGTCAGTGGTGTGCCGACAGGGGCGGGGCGGCGGGATGCGAACCTTGGCTCTGGGGCTGTCGGTGGAGTTCCCTGTGGGGTGCGAGCCCGTGTGTAGAGACAGGCAACACACGGGACGTGACGGCATGCGACGTCATGTGATGCGCAGATTTATTTACATTGGCGCATTATTTGACACTCAATCTACCCTCTGCTCAGGGGCGCCCCGGCCCCAGAAGGATCGGCACGCGTCCGCCCCAGCGGTGAACGACAAGAGAGCGCGCAACTCCCCGCTCGAGGCGTGAGCTGGTTCCCCAAACTTGGAGACGGGGGGCCGGCCCAGTGGCGGAGCAGCCAGTTTCGTCCGCAGCTACGGGCCGGGCTCTGGCGGCTGATCAGCCGAGCATTCCGAAGGGGTAGTTCAGAGATGCTGATCAGTGCGCTTGGGCGCCAGACTTGCAACCCACCGTGACCACCATTACCACGGCTACCGCTACCAGTACTACCACCACGACCATTACCATTACCACGACGGCCACAAAACCGACCGCGACCACCACCGTTGCGGGACCACGGCTTCGCCCACGATGACCACGACCCCCGACTACGCGACGGCCCAGTCCCGTTTCCCCCCTTGCTGGCTTCCGTTTGCCTCCTGGCAGTTGCCCGTGGCTGGAAGCGGGTTTCCCGACGGAGGGGAAATGGGGCTCCGGTCGTCTTGATCGCGGCTACCCCAAGGAGGCCACAGACAAACCCTGGACAATACGCGCGTCACCCTCAAGTGTGATATGGTCACGGTCGAGCGCATCAATAATCGCATGTGGCGGCATGGGAGACGGAGGCCAGCCTTGGATCCTGGAGGCCACATTTGTCTGCCCATGTTGTGCAAGAGGCTTACGTTTGTACGCCGATCCCAGATGAAATACGACGTCCACGGGTGAGATTTCTTCGGGGCAAATTGCGGTCTTTGGGGGGCCGCTTCGGACCTTGTCGGGCGTTTCTGACGGCCTCGGGGGCCGTCTTGCGGCATGCTGTACAGACAGCGCTTGCACCTACGGCCTCTCGCTTCTCTACCTCAGCAATCAAGCCCGTCGGCGCCTCGAGGGCGCTCGTGGGCATCCCGTGCCTCGGGTGGGTCTGCCAACGTTTCGTCATGTTCCCGCTCGTGGGCGCGTCGCGGGCGTTTCGTACACTGGGTGGTCCGCCTGGGTTTCACCACGTTCCCGCCCGTGCTTTCCTCGGGGGTGCCCCGTGCTCTGGGTAAGTCTGACGAGGTTTGGCCGCGTTCCCGCCCGCGGACGCCCCGCGGGGCTTCGCGGGCGCACATTATAGCGAGCACAACGTAGATAACACCACATAGGTCACGCTTGCCAGCTCCAAGTACATATTGCACACCGCATAACCAACACAACCTAGCCCACACCACCCAGTTTACACGAATCAGCTCACCTCAGATAGGTTGCACATCCCAGCGTCCACCACATATATTGTTCCGCATTGCTTACGCTGCTTTTGTTTGCAACGCGTATGTTACACCGCACAGCTCCCACCTTCACACCACCGGTGTGCAATAACTCACTGTGTCGGGTCCACGTTGGCTAACATATTTTGCATGTGTCGAATGCCCAATGTCATCAGTGCCGGCGTAGAGCGATAAAGAGGAGGAGAGAGACAGAGAAAGAGAAAGAGGAAGAGGGAGGCAGAGGATGAGGATGATGATGATGATGAGGAGGAGAAACAGAAAGAGGAGGAGGAGGAGGAGGAGGAGGAGGGGGAGGAACAGGAGGAGGGGGAGGAACAGGAGGAGGGGAGAGCGCGCGAGGGAGTAGTAACCCCTTCCCGACAGGCATCTCCTGAACCTGGTGAGGTCCGGACCACTGTTGTCCTGGGCGTCGCAGCCAGAGCTGCTCTGACAAAAGCGCGCTTGTGCTTCGCGCCCGTCCTTTCCCTCGTCCCCTTGATTTGCGCTCCGCACCCCTACTCAATCAGTCTCCTGGATAAAGAATAAGCTTTGCTATCATCGTCTCCACCACCACAAACATAGCACAGGCAGATCATTCTCAACACCATTGCCATACTGGTGTCCTCTTCATCTCTTCATGCTCTTCCTCCTCCCTCCCTTCCGCTTCCTCATTCTCCTTATTTTCCAATGCCTCCTCCTCTTCCATATTTGCATATTCGTTCGAAGCCTTTCGACTTGTTTTCCAGCTCCGATTGGTTTGATCCAACACCCGTTCCCCGTCTTTTCGCCGAGCCCTCATCACTCCGCTTTCTTTGGCCCCCGCCCTATCCTGTCCTTCCTCGTGCCCTCCCTCATCAT